CCAGAGAGAGAGACCAGAGAGAGACCAGAGAGAGACCAGAGAGAGACCAGATAGAGACCAGAGACAGAGACCAGAGAGAGACCAGAGAGAGACCAAAGAGAGACCAGAGAGGGACCAGAGAGAGACCAGAGAGAGACCAGAGAGAGAGACCAGAGAGAGACCAGAGAGAGACCAGAGAGAGACCAGAGAGAGACCAGATAGAGACCAGAGACAGAGACCAGAGAGAGACCAGAGAGAGACCAAAGAGAGACCAGATAGAGACCAGAGACAGAGACCAGAGAGAGACCAGAGAAAGACCAGAGAGAGACCAAAGAGAGAGACCAGAGAAAGACCAGAGAGAGACCAGTGAAAGACCAGAGAGAGAGAGACATGTATCATCCTGATTTATTATCAGGTACAGTGTTTCCAAAGCGTTACAATATGGAGACCCCTGCTGGAGAAGACTGGTAACAGCACTATCCTCTCTGACTTCAGCTGTAGTCTGTTCTTTGCTATTCACCCGCTGTCCTGGGTCTACGGCCTGGGTCCTGGGTCTACGGCCTGGGTCCTGGGTCTACGGCCTCGGTCCTGGGTCTACAGTCTCAGGATTAGAAGTTTCCTCTTGTTTGTTTCTGTATAAACATTATTTGTGGTTCTGCCTTTGGCTCTAACTTGGATTTTCTTTTGGTGACAGATTGAGTCCAGGTTTAGTCCCAGACCTGCAGCTGTGGTCCTCACTGCCGCTGCTCTGTTAGCGTTAGCCTGATGCTGCCTCCCCCTCTCTCCCCCTCTCTCCCCCTCCCTCCCCCTGGACCTGCTCACGTCTTCATCTCCAGCAGCTAAACGGTGACGGATGAGAGTTGGCAGCGGCTCCGACCTGTGCTGTTTGTTGTTTTGCTTTTAGCGTTTTGAATAAAAAGTTTTGTGAAGCGGCGTTTGGAACATTTCAGACGTTTTAGTTTAAGAAGCGTCGTCTTCTCAGTCAATAAAGTTATTTGGTTCTTCCATATTAGACACATGTAAGATAGCTAACATCGCTAATGACGCTAACATCACTAATGACGCTAACATTGCTAATGACGCTAACATCGCTAGTGACGCTAACATCGCTAGTGACACTAACATCACTAATGACGCTAACATCACTAATGACGCCAACATCACTAATGATGCTAACATCGCTAATGACGCTAACATCACTAATGACCCTAACATCACTAATGACGCTAACATCACTAATGACGCTAACATCGCTAGTGACGCTAACATCACTAATGACGCTACCATCACTAATGACGCTACCATCACTAATGACGCTAACATCGCTATTGACGCTAACATCGCTATTGACGCTAACATCACTAATGACGCTAACATCACTAATGACGCTAACATCGCTATTGACGCTAACATCGCTAATGACGCTAACATCGCTAATAACGCTAACATTGCTAATGACGCTAACATTGCTAATGACGCTAACATCACTAATGATGCTAACATCGCTATTGACGCTAACATCACTAATGACGCTAACATCGCTATTGACGCTAACATCGCTATTGACGCTAACATCGCTAATGACGCTAACATCGCTAATAACGCTAACATTGCTAATGACGCTAACATTGCTAATGACGCTAACATCACTAATGTTGCTAACATCGCTATTGACGCTAACATCGCTAATGACGCTAACATTGCTAATGACGCTAACATCGCTAATGACGCTAACATCGCTAATGGCGCGAACAGGGGCGACAGTGGCTCAGTTGGTAGAGCATTGGCCTCTGAGCCTGAAGGTTGTGGGTTCGAGCCCACCACAAGACTTTCTCCACCGACTCCCACTGAGGTCTGCTGTCGTTGTGTCCTTGGGCAAGACACTTCCCCCACATTAGAATGAGTCTGGTGTGTGTGTGAATGGTTGGTGGTGGTCGGAGGGGCTGAGGGCACAGACTGGTTGCCTCGCTTCTCTTAGTGAGCCCCAGGGCAGCTGTGGCTACAGTAGTGATTGGAGTCAAAGAATAATGACATGTGATATATAAAACCGATTATTATTATTATTATTAACATCGCTAATGGAGCTAACATCGCTGACCATTTCTGGTATAGAAGGTTTTGGGTTCGAATCGCGGTCGGAACAGGGCCTTTCTGAGTGGAGTTTGCATGTTCTGCCCATGTCTGCATAGGTTTCCTCCGGGTACTCCGGTTTCCCCTACCACTAAAAACATGTGCAAAAGTTGAGGGTGAATGAGTGTGTGTTTGTGAGTGTGAATGTGGGACGACAGATGGAAATGAACCCATGGCTACAATCCGGAGAGATGTGTTCATGAACATGGTATAGAATAATCAAACAACTTTAACACTAGGACTAAGCCTAGACCCTGGCGGATCCCGGGGTCTAGACCCTGGCGGATCCCGGCAAACATTGTCTTCAGCGTCTCATGTGGAGTCAGATTATTGTAATAAACATTGTAAAAATGATATGTCTGTTGCAGTCTCTCCAGTGAAAAGTACTCGAGTACCTGTATTGTAGTGCTTGGTGCAGTACTCTGAGTACTCGAGTACCTGTATTGTAGTGCTTGGTGCAGTAGCGCAGGTCGGTCTCGTCTCTCATGATGAACTGAGGCAGAGTCAGTCCTTCTGCCACCTGCACAGGACCGTTCTCCTGCCACTCGAAGATCAGGTCGTTCATGGTGTATCCGACTACACAACACACACACACAACACAGAGAGACACAACACACACACAACACAGAGACACACAACACACACACAACACAGAGAGACAAACAGCAATATGTATGTAATTAATAAAGTTAGAAAACAATCAGTTGAAGATGAGAATGTTCTGTTTTGTTGAAAGAAAAACGTACGGACCGAGGACCAGAGCGAGACCTCACATAGTTTTACTTTATTTTTTCTCTTTAGACCAGAGGGGCAATGATCGAACCCCGAGAAGAGGAGCAGATGACGACACCCCAGTGCAATTAGACCAGAGGATTGCCCCCATGAGCGAAAGCAGAGTAGCTCGAGAGGGAGATTGAGTAAGAGGGCGTGGTGTAGAGAAACTCTGCAGAGACTATGAGAGGAGCGGTGACTACCACGACTTGAAGGCTTCGAGGAGAGATGGGGAGATGAGAGGAGTGGCAATTGACGAAGAGGAAGAGAAGGGGGCGACCGAAGGAGAGGGAGGTTGAGACACCCCAAAAACCCCGAGAGAGGAGATCAGAGAGGACCCAGAGGGTGAGGACCTAGAGAGAGAGAGGGGAGAGACACCATGACGACGATGAGCAGAGGGGAGAGCCGAGGGGATATGAGCAGAGAGCGATATGAGACCAGCCATTGAGGGGTTTAAAAGCTAAGGGGGGGGCAAAAATGGGGCAAAGCAAAGGCAGGGGGCTAATAGGCAAAGCATGGGCCAGAACAAGCCAAGCTATGGACCAAGGCTGGGCATCCAATGGCGGGATGGGGCAAAGTTGGGGCCCTTTGTGGTTCCTGACGCGGTTGGGGGGGAAAACTGGGGAGTTTTTCCAGGGAAAGTTTTTGGGGGGGCTTTTTGAGGGGGGGTTTTTCCAGTTGGTTTCCTTGTGCCTAAAACAGTTGGTGGAAAAAATAACAATTAACCCCCCATAACTGGTTTTTTTGTGTTCTTAATATAGGGGGGCCCAGGGGGTTTTGGATTTCTAATTTTGATTGAAAAGGGGGTTTTTTTTCTTTCTTTTTTCCCTTCTGGGTTTTTTTTCTCCCTTTTTAGGTTCCCCCCACTTTTCGTTTTTTCTGGAAGGTTTTTTCTCGTTCCTGCCCAAATAATGGTTTTTTTTTTTTTTTTTAAACACACACTTGGCTTCCTACTAGTTTTTACAGTTAACATATAAAATAAAAAGGGGGTTTATTTAAAAAAATAAAACTTAGGGGGCAATTTTTTCTCCCCACTTTTCAAACCACCAAATAACCACCCCAAAAGGGTGTTGGGGGGGACCCCATTTGTGAACCATAATATAAAAACTTATTTGTATTTGGGTAAATAACTAGGGGGGGGGGTGGGGGGGGGGGACTGGGGGGGGCCTTTTTTTTACTGGGCTTGGGGGGGGGGGAACTTTTTCCTGGGGAGGGGGGCACCAGGGAAAAAAAAACTGGCCCCTTCTTTTGCACTGGGGGGGGGTGGGGATCTGAGGGGACAGCACAAGTGTGGGGGGGGGGGGACTGTAAATACATTCCTTTTTGTTGGGGGGGGGGGGGGGGGGGTGGGGGGGGGGACTCTGGGGGAGGAGGGGCCCCCCCTACCCCAGGGGGGGGACGGGGGGGGGGGGAAACTTTTCCCTGCTTGGGGGGGGGAAACTTTTCTGAAGGGGAGCACACCAGGGGGGTGGGTGGGGGACTGGCCCTTCTAGGGCTTGGGGGGGGGTGAACCTCTTGTAGGGGGGGGTAGCCCAACCCCAAAAATAAAGGACCTTGGGGCCCCCTCCCCCCTTTTTGCTTGGGGGGGATTCTTTGAATGGGGGAGGGTAATCAAAACAGGGGTGGGGGTGGGGGGGGGGGGGGACTGGGGGACCTCTGGCTTTTTGGTATTTTCCCACAGAAGGTTCAAGATGGGGGATATATATTTTTGGGGGGGGGGGGGAGGGGTTTGGCCATTCGATATTTTTGTTTTTTAAATAAAATTCTGGATATAAAAAAACACCCAAAGTTTTTTTTTCCATTTTTTCCTGGAAAAAAAAAAATTTTTGTGGGGACGGGGGTGGGAAACCAAGGGGGGGGGGGGTGGGGTGGGGGGGTGGACTTTCCTTTTTTTTTTTCTCTTTTTGGGGGACCATTGTTCCAATTAAAAAAGTTTATGCAAAGGATTAAAATAAATTGGATTTTCATGGGTCCCCCAGGTTTTTTAACTTTATTGTTTCCCGTGATTTATTATGTTCTATGTTGTTTTTTTTCCATTCAATTTCAACAAAATTGTCCTTTTGGTGTTTGGGAAATTTCTTTTTTTTCTTGTTTTTTTTTTTTCTTTGGTTTTGGGGTTTGGGGTAAAATCGATTTAAACTTTTTTGTAAAACTTGGTTTGTTCAAATTATACTTGGGAAATTATAATAAGGTGGACTGTTGTGCTTCATTGGGTTTGTTTTTTTTTTTTTTTTTTTTTTCCCTTTCTGTAACGAGGTTGGCTGTGGTTTTTTTTTTTTGGGCTTTGTCCTTTCTTTTGGTTAACGGGTAGGGTGGTTGCTGTGGTGGCTTTTTTTTATGTCTACTGGGTATTTAAGAAGGGTTTTTAGGGCTTTTTGTCTGCTTTTCTGGGTTCTTTTCTGGTTTTTTTTTTTTTAAACGGGGGGGGGGGGCGTTTTTAGTTTGGCTGTTGTGCTTTTTTTCAGGGTCTCTGGGTTACGGTAGGTGTGACTTGTTTTTGGTTGCCTCCTATATTTTTGGTAAAATACCCCCCAACTATATGGATTGCTTTTTGTGTGAATTTTCTGTTCCATGGTTAATAACCATTAATAAAACTGTTTTTTGCTTGCGTATTGCCTTTTTGTTCTGTTTTTACAACTGGTTTTAATACATAAGGGTTGTTGCTTTTGTGTTTTGCTTCCTGGGTTCACTTGGGTAAATACAAGGTTTTTGCCTGGGTGTTTGGGCTTTTCTGTTGCTCTTGGGTTACGGGATAGGTTGATTGTGTTTTTTGGGCACCTCTTGTCACTGGTTACGGGAGGGGGTTTGGGCCTTGTTGTTTTGCTTTTCTGGGTTCCTGGTTTATTTTTTGGGGACGGAGGTGGCTGTTGTTTTGGGCTTTCTTGGGGGTTTTCACTGGTAACCATAAAGGCGGGGGGGCCTTTGTGTTTGGTTCCATCTGGTTCTCTTTTGGTTAAGAACAGGTATTTTTTGGGCTTTTGTGTTTTTTGCTTTTTCTTGGGTTTCCCCCCCACTTGGTTACGGAGGGGTGTGGGCTTGGGTGTTGTTTGGCTTTTTTGTCTAAAAATTGGTATTTACGTATAAAGGGTGCTGTTGTTGGGGGGCTTTTTCTGTTTTCCATGGGTTTTTTTACGAAAGGGGAGTGTCTGGGTGGTTTTTTTTGGCCTTTCTTGTCTTGGTTTTTTACGGGAAAAGGGTTGGGGCTGTTTTAGTGCTTTTTTGTTTCTGGGTTAATTTTATGGGGTTATCAGAGGGGGGTTTGGCTGTGGTGGCCCCATTTTCTGTCTCTGGGGTACCGATAAGTTTGGCTTTTGTTTTTTTTGGTGCCTATTTCTGTCTTCTTTTGTTTTTTTTAAGACAGGTTGCTGTGGTTTTTGCCCCTCTTTCTCTTTCTGGTTTTTTAAAACAAAGGGGGGGGGGGGGGGGGTTTATTTGAGTGTGCTTTATGGCCCCCAAAAATTGGTTTACCCCAAAAGTTTTTTTTTGGCCTGGTTTGGTTTTTTTGCTTTTTCTGTCCCCAACTTGGTTTCAGGTGGCCTGTTTTGGTTGCTTTTCTGGGTCAATTATTTTAGGTATTTAACAAGGGTGTGGTTTGTTTTTGCTTTTGCTGTTCATTTCTTGTACGGGGGGGGTAAGGGGTTTTTCTGCTGTTTGTGGGGCCTCGGTTTCAATGGGGGGTAACGGGAAGGGTGCTTTGTTTTGTTGCGTCTGACAACTGGGGGGAGTAAGGGGACAGTGGTGGGCCCTTTTGTTTTGTTTGTGTGCTTTCTGGTTTCAACTGGTTACAAAGGTTTTTGGGATGTGGTTTTTTTTGGGGGGGGGGTCCTCTGGTTTTTTATTTCTTTGGCTTTTTCGGGGGGAGGTTTTTGGCTGGTGGTTGCTTTCTTTTTGTCACTGGGTTCCGGGAAGGGGTGTTTTTTCGCTGTTGGTTTGTTTTTGGACCCCAGGTTTTTACGAAAGGGGTTTGTTTGCTTGTGTTTTTTTTTTTGCTTGTATGGTCCCCCAACTGGTGTTATACGAAGGGGTTTTTGCTGTTGTTGGCTTTTTTTTGTCCCCCTCTTGGTCTTTTAATACGACGTGGGTTTTTGCCATGTTGTGGGCTTCTTTGTCCCTGGTAACGAGGTTTTTTGCTGTTTGTTGCTTGTTCATGTCAATACCTGGTAAACGAGGGGGTGGGGGGGGGGTTGGTTGTTTGCTTCTGGTCCTTTTTTTGGTCAAAGGAGTTATGCTTTTCTGGTGTTGGGGCTTTTTTTTCCTTGTCTTTTTTTATTTGGTTTTTTTAACATGTGTGCTGTTTTTTTTGGCTTTTTTTTTTGTCTATTTTTTTTTATCTGGTTTTTTTAAAAGGTGCTGTGATTGGGGGCTTTTTCTGTCTTCTGGTAAACCGGGGAGGTTTTTTTTAGTTTTTGGGCTATGTGGAGCCCATTCTGGGGTCTTTTTATGGTAAAAAAAATGTTGGCTTGGTTTGTGGGCTTCCTTGGTTTTTTTCCCCCCCCCAACTGGTACAAGGGTTTTTTTGTTTTGCTTTGTGATGGCTTCTGTCCACTGGTTACCACAAGGTTTTTTGCCCTGTTTTTTGTTTGTTTTTCTGGTTTTCCCCCAACTGGTTTTTTAACAATGGTTTAAGATTGTGTTTTTGGGCTATCCTGGTTTGGCTCTTTTTTGTTTTCTGCCCCCCGGCCCTTTATCCTTCACCAACTGGGTGGTTTGTCTGTGGTTCTATATTGTTTTCCTGGTTTTGGGTTTTCTTTTTTCTTTCATGTTGTTTTGTTTTTCTATTAATTTTGTTTTCACTGTCGTTTTCTTCTTTGTTGGGGGGGTTCTAATTATTGTTTAATAAAAAAACCTTTTTGTTTGGTTATGGTGGTTCTTATATTTGTTTTTTTTCCTGGTTGTCTTTTTTTCATTGTGTTTCTGGTATGTTACCTGTTTGGGGTCTTTTTCTTTTGTGGGGTTTTTCCTATATTTGTTTGTGTTTTCCTGGGTGGGTCTCTTGTTGGGGGGTTCCTATTATGTACCTGTGTGGTTTCTGGGTTTGGGTTTGTTTTTTTATATGTTTACTAGTGTTTTTCTCTTCTTCCTCGTTGTTTTTTATATTATGGTTACCTGTGTCTCTTTTGGTCTATTATGGGTACCTTGTGTCCTTTTTTTTCTTTTGGTTGTTCTGTTATTGGTTTAACCCTTGTGGGGGTTTCTCCTTGGTGTATAAATTTTTTTATTGTTTTTTACCTGGTGTCTCTGGTTTGTCTTGTTTCTTTGTTTTATACCTTGGTTTGTTTCTCTCTGTGTTCTTAAATTTAAGTAAAACCCCTGTGGTGTTTCCTTGTTGTCCCTGGGTTTACACTGGTGTTTTTCTTCTTATGTTGTGGGTATTTTGTTAAACCCTGGTTATTTTGTGGGGTTCTCTTTCTGTGTATTATTTAAATGTTTACCCACTGGTGTTCTCTTCTGTGTTCCTTATTATAATTGTCCTGGTTTGGTCTTTTCTCTTGTGTCCTTGTTTGTATTTTTTTTTTAAACAAACCTGTTTTGTGGGTCTTCTTTTTTTGTGTTTTCTGTTTTTTTTTTTAAACCCCTGTATTTGGTCTTTCTGTGGGTGTTTTTTTATTGTTTTTTTAACCCTGGTTGTTCCTTTCTGTGGGGTTTCCTTGTAACCCTGTTTTTGGGTCTCCTTTTTTCGTGGGTCTTTTAATATGGTTTACCTGGATGTCCCTTTTCCTGTTTTGATTGGGTTTTTTATATTTGTTTAACCTTTTGTTTGGGTCTTCTGGTGGGGGTTCTGTTTTTTTACCTGTGGGGGGTCTTTGCTCCTGTGGGGTCTATTATTTGGGGGTTTTTATTAAAAAAAAAACCTTTGTGATTCTCACTGTGGGGGGTTTTGTTTACCCCTGGGGTTTTCTTTGTGTGGGGGGTTCTGGTTTAATTACCTGGTGGTCCTCTTTTGTGGTTTTATTAATTTTGTTCTTTCCGGTGGTGGTTTCTTGTGTTTCTTATATTGTTTACCTGTTTGGGGTCTTCTCTATGTTGTTCCTTATATGTTCCTGTTTGGTTCTTCTTTTTTGTTCTAATTTAATTTTTGGTAAACATGTGGTGTTTCTTGGTTGTCTGTAACCTGTTGTCTCCTCTGTTGTTTCTATTATGTTTTTACCTGTTTTGGTCTCTTCTCTGTTGGTCGGGCTTAAACCCCTTTGTGGGTTTTTTATCTTTTCTGGTTGTGTATATTGGGTTTTTTTAACCTGTGGGGGTCCCTCTGTGTTTTTATATTGTTTTTTTTTTTACCCTTGTGTCCTTTACTTTCTTTTCTTGTGGTTCTGTTTTTTTTTTAAAAAACCCGGTTGGTCTCTCTGTTTGTGTATTTAATTGTTAACCTTGATAGGGTCTCTTTCTTTTTTTGTGGGTCTAATATATTTGTTGTTTTCTTTGTTGTTTTTCTTTTTGTGGGTTCTTTTTAAAACCTGTGTTTAATTTCTTTCTGTGGGGTGTTCTATATGTTTGTGTTTTTTTTTTTTTTTTTACTGTGGTCTCCTTTTGTTTTTCTTGGGGTAAAAACCTGTTTTGGGGGGTCTCTTTATGAGTTTCTTATATTTTTGTTTTTTTTAATCTTTGGTGAGGTCCTCTGGGTGTGGGTCTTGTTTTACCTTTGTTTTGGGGGGGTTTTTTCTGTGTTTTCTAAATTAATTGTTTTTTCAACCTTGTGGTTCTTCCTCTTGTGTGGTTTTAAATTATATGTTTTTTTTTTTATCCGGGGTGGGGGTCTCTCTGTGGGGGGGGTTCAATGATTTGGTTACCTTTTTGTTTGTTTCTGGCTTTTTAGTTTTAAAAAAAACTAAAACCGTAAATAAAAAAAAATACTTACAAGGGGTCTTGTTTTTTTTGTCAAAAAGGGGGGCCCCCGGGGGGGCGGTTTCCCAGGATTGGGCGCCCTATTTTTCAATTGAAAACAATGGTTGTTTGTAAAAGATGGGGGGGCGACTTTTTTTTTTTTGTTGGGGTGGGACGGGGGGCCATTTTGGGGGGGATGAAAAAGGTGGATAAGCTGAAGAGTTGCCCCATTGGAAAAAGAAAATATAATATAATATATTTCTTTTCAAATTAAGATTTTTCTTTTATTGGGGGGGATAAAAAAAAAACACTCTCAAAAAGATTTTTCTTTTTGGGGGGAAAAAAAATATGGGGGCCTTTTTGTTGTTATTTTTGGGGGCGATATCTTTCGTCTTTGGTCCTCCCGGTTTTCTTTGTTTTTGGGGCCAGGGGGGTTGAATTCTTCCCCCATTTTTTTAATTTGGGCCGTTTTGCGGACCAAAAAAACCCACCCCAGAAGTTGTTGTTGGGGGGGTTCTACAACCCAACCGGGGGGGTTCTTTCAAATCGCATAGTTGGGGCAAAGGGGGAGGGTTCCTTCCCAGGCAACGTTGGCCCTACACAGAAGGGGGGGGCCGGGGTTCTTGGAACCAAATTAAGAAAAACAAGGGGGCAGGTTTTTTTTTTTCAATTCCCAGTAAAGGAGGGGGGGAGTTTTTTAAAGGGCTTAGGAAACCCTACCAAGGGAGGGGAAGGGGGGGTGCGGGGGGGACCCAAAAATCATGGGGAGGCGGATTCAAAGCGGAAAAAATAACTCCCTAAAAAAAAATACAAAAAAAACGTGGGGGCTGTTCGGCTCTATTAGATTAATTGGGGATCGAACCCCCCACCAACAGGGGTGGCGGGGGGAATTATTGTCGCATTTTTATGCACGCCCCTCCAATTTCCATTTTTTCAATGGGGAACGTTTTTTGGGGCCGGGGGGCGGGTTGAAAAAAAACCATTAAGCCGGGTTTCTAAAAATCGCCCCAGGCGAAAGGCCCTCTTTTGCTCAGTGCGGGGGAACGGGGGGGGCGGAAGGAAAAAAAATATTTAATCATAAAATACAGTTAGAGTGTGTTTATAAAAATTTCCTCCCCGGCTTTCGTTTTGCCATATTTTTGTACATGTCGTGTTGGCAAACCGGGGCCGCCAGGGGGGGGGGGGTCAAGGGCGGACGCGGGAATCCCAGGAAAATAAGGGTTTTGGGGAAATATTTTGGGGGGCCATTTTTTTTCACAATAATAACTTTTTTTATACGGGGAGACGGGGCTGTCGTCATAATAAAAAGTGGGCGGGGCAAATTTTGTTCGGGGCGGCCCCCCCGTCTGTTTTTATGTTAAGGGGGGCCCTCGGGGGGGAACCCTACTACGGGGGATGGCGGGGACAAGTTATGAGGGGGGGGGGGATTAACACGCGGGATCACAGCGGAAAAAATACAAAAATAAAAAAATCAAAAAAACCCGGGCTGGGGGTCGCCTCAGTTTTAAAATAAAAACATTGGGGGAAAAAACAAGGTGGGTGGGGGGGCGGTGGAGGGGGGGGGGTGGCGCGTTTTGCGGGCACTTGAATCCAGGGGGAACATTAAGGGTCCAGTTTCGTAAATAAGGTTGAATAGGCGATTTTGCCCAACCTTTCTGGGGTTCGCGTTTTCGGGGCATTTTCTCCCCTTTATCTTTTTTTTTTTCCTTTCTCCCCTTTTTCAGGGGGTTTTTGGGTTGTTTTTTTTGGGTTGGTAGAAGGAGGGGTTTTTGCGGGGGGGGGGGGGGGGGGGGGGGGGAAGCTGGAATTACCTTAAAAAATAAGGTTTTTGAAATTTCGGATAATTAAAAAAAATTAAAATCACCCTTTTTCGGGGGGGGGGGGTGAGTAGGGGGGGGGGGGGATAAACCACCGGCTGGGTTTCGGTAAATAATAGGGCCGCAATCGCGGGGGCCCCCCCGGGGTTATGTTTTCATTGTTTTTAAAAAATTTTTTTTCTGAGGCGGGGGGGGGGGTGAACAAAAGGGCGTTGGAGTTTCGCCTTGGATCGCTTCTTTTAAAAATTTTTTGGGTCCCGGCCTTTTTTTTCCCGATTTTTGTTGGGTTCGAAGGGGGGGGGGGCCCCTTTTATTTAAAATAATAAATAAAAAAACATGACCGGGAGGGGGGGGGTGGGGGGGGGTGTGTGGGGGGGGGGGGGGGGGGGGGGGGGGGGGGGAGACGGGGGGGGGCGGCCGGATTTGCGCGGCTTGGGTCGTGGGGGTGGGGGTAAACCCCACAGGAGTTTTCGAAAAAATAAAAATAAAAGGTTTTTTATAGTTAAGCGTTTTCCCCCAAAACAAAACATTTTTTTGGGATTTTCGCGGGTGGTTAGCTGGGAATAAAATATCCTTGGCGGGCTGAGCAACGATACATGGGCACGGGGGGTGGGGGGGTTGGGGAATTTCCACCCCAACGCCTACCGTTTTTTCCCCAGGCCCGTGTTCGCTTTGTAAGCCAGGGGGGGGAGAGGCTCACGGGGCTGGGCGGGTTTGGGTCGGGCTAATTTGGTCGCGCAACGGTTTTCCAATTGGATATTGGGGAATAATGGAGGGGGGGGGGCGATGCGAAATTGTCGGGCCTCCCGTGTTGTTCGGAATAGCCCATTTATTTTTTTTCTTGAGGCGGGGGGACAGGGGGGGGGTCCGTTTGTTGAAGTTTTTAGGCTTGGGAAATTTCGCCTCTCCAATTTTGGGGGGGTTCGGCCTTTTTTTGTTTTCACGATTTTGTGGTTATTTTAGGGCCTTTTTTAACTCCCCCGGCTTTTTATGTTGAAAACTGCTTTTCTGTTTGGGTGGGTCAGAGCCCGGAGTGGCCCTTGCTGTGCCACTTATTTTGGCGGGGTGGGGAGAAATCCCTTCTGAGGCCCCAACGGTTGGGGCGTGAAGGGGGGATCCCCGGTGTTGGGGTTACCACAAAAAAATCCAGTGCGTTGTTTGGGGCCCGGGGGCAAACAAAGGGCCATTTAAATGGGAAAGGAAATCATCCCACTGGGGCAACAGAAAAAAAAAATAAAAAAAAAAAAATAACAGGGTGGTCCAAGGGAACGATGCCCAAAAATTAAAAACCAAATGCGGGTGGGGAGTTTTCCCAGAAGGATTTTTTTTCTTTGGGAGAGGTTTTTCCCTACAATTTAGATCTTTGGGAGAAAGGGTTTTTTTCAGGGGGGGGCATTACAATATAAAATACAAACTTTCCCGCTTTAACAAAAATTTTTCAGCCACCCCTTGCACGTTTTCCACAAAAAAAGCCGGCCCCAACTTGGTGCAAAACAACCCATTCAATTTTTGAAATTAGGGGGGGGCCGCCATCTTGGGTATCGCCCGGGGGGGCTTGGGGGAACCAGGATCTTATTAATTTAATTTACGGGTAAATAAAAAGGCAGGGGGGGATATTAAAACCACAGGTTTTTTTTTTTTTTAAAATATAAGACCCAAGGGGAGGAGGGGGGGGGGGGGGGGGGGGGGGGGGACCCCCCCCCACAGGTTTTAAAAACATTTTTTTTTTTTTTAAACACAGGAGGGAGGGGTGGAACCCCCCCAAAAAACAAGTTAATAAATTAGGGGGGGGTGACCCACAAAGGGAAGAGGTGGGACCCAACCAAGGTTAAACCAAAGGGGGGGGGGGGGGGGGACCACAGAAAGGGGAAAGGGTAAACAATTTAATTTAAGGACCAACAGGGGGGGCGGAAGACCCCCACAGGTTTAAAAGGGGAAACCCACCCAAGGGAAGGGGTGGAACCCCCACTGGGGGTTTAACAAATATAAGGACACCAGGAGGGGGGTGGGGGGGGGGTGGGGGGGGGGGGAACCCCAAAAAAAACAAGGGTTCAGGTCACACCAGGATACCCAACAGTTACATTTAATAAGTGGGGGGGGGGGGGGGGGGACCCAAAGAAGGGAGTGGTGGGGGGGGGGGGGGAAACAAACAGGTATTTACATATTTACAAACTGAAAGAGGGGGAACCCCACCCCCCCCCATCTGGGATACGGAACAAAGAGAAGGGAGGGGGGGACAAAACAGGTACATATAGACCCTCAAGAAAAAAGGGGGGGACCCAAAAAAACCAGTTACAATATAACCCCCACCACAAAAGGGAGGTGGGGGGGGGTGGGGGGGGGGGGACCAGGTTTTTTTACGGGGGTAACCATTCCAAAGAGGAAAGGGAGGACAAAAACAAGGTAAATACATATAGGGGGGGGGGACCCCCCCCACCAAAGAGGAAAAAAAGGGGCCCCCCCCCCACAGGGGTACCACCAGGGGGGGGGGGGACACAAGAAGGGACAACCAAAAGGGGTAAACATAAGGGGGGAACCCACAGGGAGGGGGACCCCCCCCAAAAAGTAACCCCCAATTAAATTAAGGGGGGGACCCCCCCACCCCAGGAGGGAGGGGGGAAGAACACAGGTTTTTTAAACCAATTTAAAGGACCCCCAAAACAAGGGTGGGGGGGGGAAAACCAAACCCAGGGGTTACCCAATATTGAAACAACAGAAAAAGGGGGGTTGAGGGGACACAAGGTTTTTACTTTACCAGGACACCCCCAACAGGGGAGGGGGGGGGGAAACAACAAAGGGGTTTTACAGACACAAGGGGAAGGACCTAAAGGGCTTTAACATATAGGGGGGACCCCACAAGGAGGGAGGGGGGGGGGGGGACCAATAGGTTTACAGGGAACCCACAGGGAGGGGGGGGACCCACAATGGGTAAAACAATTATTAGGGACACCCAAAAAACCAAGAAGGACCCCCCCAGGTTTAAAAAAAACATTTATAGGGGGGGGGGGGGGACCACTGGAAGAAGGGGACCCACAAAAACCAGGTTTTTTTAACAAGGGGGGGACCCCCCCCCCAAAAAGGAGTCCCCCACCCCCAACAAGGGTTAACCATATTAGGGGACACCCCCCACCCACAGAAGGGGTGGGGGGTGGGGGGTGGGGGGGGGGGGGTGGTGGGGTGTACAAAACGGTTTGTTACCAAGGAACCACAGAGAGTGGGGGGACCACCAGGATACTTACCAGGGGGAACCCCCCCACAAGAGGGGGGAGGTGGGTGGGGGGGGGGGGACACAGTGTTAAAACCAATTTTTATTTAGGGGGGAACCCAACAGGGTAAGAGGACACAGGTTTTACAATTATATGACACCAAGGAGAGGGAACACAACCAACAGGGGTTTTTTTAAAAATTTATAAAGGGGGGGGGGGGACAACCCAAGGGAGGAGGGGGAACCAACAGGGTTTTTTTTTTTTTAACCTGGGGGGAACCCACACAGAAGGGGGGGAGGGGAGGATCCCCCACAAGGGTTAAACATTATTAGGGGGGGGGTACAAACAGGGGGAGGGGAAGGTGGGGGGAACCAACCACAGGTTACATGACCCAACAGAAAGGGGGGGGGGGAACAACAGGTTTTTAAAAATAGGGGACCAAAGTGAAGGACACAGGGTAAATTAAAGGGGGGTGGGGGGGGGGGGACCCACAAGAAAGGGGGGGGGGGGGGGGGGGGGTTGGGAAACACACCCCAACCAGGGTAAAAAACCCATATAGGGGGGTCACAGAGGGTGGGGAAACCCAACAAGGGTTACCATTATTTTAGGGGACACAGGGAGGAAGGACCCAAAAAACAGGGTTTAAATAATTTTTAGGGGGGGGACACGGGGGGGGGGGGGGGGGAACACCCCCACAGTGGTTTTTTAATAACAATAATTTAGGGGGACAACAAAGAGGACCCACAGTGGTTTACAAATATAGGGGACCCCCCCCCCACAGAGGGGGGGGGGGGGGGGGGGGGGGGGTACAAACAGGTAAAAACATTTTACAGGGGGGGGGGGGAAAACCACAAGAATGAACACAGGGTTTTTTAAACTTTAATTTTAAGGGAGGGGACCACAGAAAGACCCCCCCAAAAAAAACCAAAAGGGTTTCATTTAATTAGGGTGGGGGGGACCCCCACCAAAAAGGAGGGTTGGGGGAGGGGAACAACCAAGGTTACAATATTATGGGGGGGACCCCCCACAGGAAGGAAAGGGGGGAGGGCCCCCACCTGGGTTAATTTATAGGGGAAACAAACATGGGGGAAAAAAAACCAGTGAAGTTAGGGGGCGGGGGGCCAAGAAAAGAAATAACCAGGAAGGCCACCACAGCAATCCCATTGTTACCCCAGGTTGGGGAAACCCAGAAGCCCCCCAAACCCCACGGGGGGGCACGTGGTAACAGTTGGACGTAATAGGGGGGGGCCACACAGGCTTACCTTTTTTCCAGTGGGAGGACAGAAAAAAGGGGAACACACACAGCCAAACCCATTTGTACAGTGGTGGGGGGGGGGTGGGGGAAACAGAGGGGTAAAAAACAAGGGGGCAAACCTCGTAAACACGGGGAGGGGTGGGGGGGGGACATAAGAAAAAGGCAAACACATGGGCCCACTTTGTATAACCAAGGGAGGGGGGGGAACAGGAAAAGGCCAACCCCTTACCAGGACAAATCCCCTTGTACCGGGGAGGGGGGAAAATTAGGATGCACCAAACAAGGCCCACTTTTTGGTTAAAACAGGGAAGTGGGGTGGGGAAACAAAGGGAAAAAGCCCCCCAACCCCCAAACCATTCCCCAAACAATCGTTCCCCCAGTGGGGGGGAATGAATTTGCCCACCCCCAACACAAGGGCCAAACCTCGTTAAAACCATTGAGGGAATCAGAAACCACACACAGGGGGGGCCACCTCGTGTAAACGTGGGGAAATGAAAAATAGAGAAACCCCAACTTGGCATCCCCCCTCGTAACCCGTGGGACAGATAGGGCACTAGGCAAACCTTCGTTTATCCCCAGTGGGGACAGAGGGGGCCCCCACCCCCCCAAAGGGGGGCCACACCTCGTTACCAGTGGGGGGGGGGGGAAACAGAAAAAGCCCCACAAAACCAAGGCCACCTCTCGTACCAGGAAGGGTGGGGTGATAAGAGGGGGCAAACAGCCCCTTGTTTTTAACAGTGGGGGGGGGGGGGGGGGGGGGAAAACAGGAAGCCCAAAAAAAGGGACCCCACCATCGTTTCGTTTACCGTGGGGGGGGGGGGGGACAGGAAACAACCAACCATGGCCCCACCCCCTCGTTTTAACAGTGGTGAACAGAGGCTAAAACACAGGCCACCTCGTAACTAGGGGGGGGGGGGGGGGGGGGGACCAGGGGACAAGCTCCCTAAACAGGCCAAACCTTGTTACCGTTGGGGGAAAACAGGAAAAAGCACCAACCAGGGGCCTACCTTGATTAAACAGTTGGGGGGGTAAAACAGGAAAAAGCAAAACACAAGGGCCACCATTGTAAACCCATAAAGTTGGGTGGGGACAAGAACAGTCATAACCCCAACAAAAGCCCCAACCCTTTGTTTAACCAGAAGAGGAAGGGGAGGGGGCAACAAAACAGGGCCAAAAACTCGTTTTTTTACCAGGAGGGGGGGGAACAGGGGAAGGGGGGACAAACCAAAATAGGGCAAAAAACCCCTCGGTTAACCAGAGGGGGGGGGGGGAACCAAGAATTGGCCCACACTGGGCAAAACCTCGTTTACCCAGAGGGGGGGGACCCAGGGGAGGGCCCACACAGTCAAAACCCCTTCGGTACCCAGGGAGGGACAAATAAGTAAGGGGCCAACCCCAAAGGCCACCTCGTCATACCCAGTGGGGGGGGGGGGGGGAACAGGAAGGGGCAAACACAGGGGGCAACCCTGACCGTAACCAGTGGGGGGGGGGACAAGATAGGGCACAAAGCCCAAAAAACCCTCGTTTTTAACTAGTTGGGGGGGTGGGGGGGGGGGGGGGGGGGGGGTACCAGGAAAGGGCTACCCCCCCCCAAACAAGCAAACCCCTCGTTTTTACCCAAGGGAAGGGGGGGGGACAGGGAGGGCACAACCCAGGCTCCCCTTGTTACCCACGGTGACCAGGGGAAAATAAGGGGGCCCAACAACCAGCCAAACCTGTTCTTACCCAGGTGACAGAGCCAACGGCAACCTCGTTTAAACCCAAGGGGGAAAAACAGGAGGGCCACCACAGCCAAAAAACCTTTTGGTTTCCCAGAGGGGCGGGGTGTGAAACAGAAAAATAAGGGGGGGGGGCCAAACAGGGGCCCAACCTTTGGTTCCAGGGTTTGGGGGACAGAAAAAAAATAGGGGGCCCCCCCACACAGGGCAATCCCTTTGTTCCCATTGGGAACCCCCAGGAAAAAGGGGGCACCCCCCCAACCACACAGCAAAACCTTGTTTTACCAAGTTGTGTGGACAACGGAAAATGGGCAAAAACCCACAAAGCACCTTGTTTTTACCTGGAGAGGTTAGGGGAGGGGGCAACCAATACCCCACAAAAGCAACCTCGTAACCAGAAGGGGGGGGGGGGGGGGGGGGGAAACAAGACATGCCACAAACAGGACTTCGTTACACAGAGGGGGGGGGGGGGTAAACAAGGAAATCACACACAATGGCACCTCGTAAACCAAGAGGGAAACTGATAATTCTACACAACCCCCCAAAAGGGGCAAAACCCTGTTACCCAGAGGGTTGACAGAGGCACACTAGGGGCCCAATACACTCGTAACTAAGAGGGGGGGGTGACAGGGATACAGGGGGGGACAAACCAAAATGGGACCCCCACATGATAAATATATACATTAAAAATGAAAAACCCCCCATAGGTTATTCGATTTCGGGCACCCCAAAAAAAAAAAAAAACAAAAGGATTTTTTTCAGGGAGAATAATTACAAAAAAAAAAAAAAATTAAAACAAAACCCAAAGGAAAAAAAAAAAAAAAATTGAAAAAAAAAATGGAATTGGAAATAAAATCACCCATAGGAAAAAAAAGACAAAAAATTTTGGGGAAATATCTGGTAAACATAGGTAAAAAAAAAAAATAAAAAAATATAACCTGATAAAAAAACCATTGTAAAAAAATCCATTTTAAAAATCTTGCAATTTTGAAAAAAAAACAATTGGTCAGAAAGAAGAAGTCTGTTTTCTTCAATTTTTTTTTTTCAAAGGGGGGGAGGGGGGGGGGGGGGGGGTGGGACTGGTTTCCAGATTTTAGTATTTGGGGAAAATTCTGATAATACTTGGCAAAGGGGCCTCCCATGGGTTTTTTAGGATTTTCTGTGGGGGGGGTTCTTTCTGGGGAAAAACCCAAGGGGCAGGAAGGGGGGGGTTACCAGTTCCCCTGTTTTTGGTCCCCTCGAGGGGTTCCACACTAAGCAGGGAGGGCCAGTTTTTCCCTTTTGTGTTGGGCTTTCCTTTTTCAAAAGAGGTCCAGGCAAGGAGGGGGGGGGGCACAGGTACCCCACTTGTTGCTTCCCTCCAAGAGGTCCCCAAGGCCAGGGGTGGTCCCAAGGGTTCCCCTGTGCTCAGCTGGGTTGTCCCAGAAAATGGGGGGGAAGGTCAAGGTACCCTTGTTGCTTCCTTCAGAGGGTCCCAAGGCAGGAAAGGCCCAAGGTTTATTCCCTGTTTGGCTCCTAAGGGGGGGGGGGGTCCCAGCCAGGGAGGGCCCAGTGCCCTGGGGTGGTTTCATCAGAAGGTTGGGTTCTACATAATGGTCAAAAATAAAACATTTTGTTGTGTTTGGTGAAGTTGTAAGATAGCAAGTTGTTTTTTTAATATTAAATTATCTTTTTTTTGGTTTTACTGTAAATTGATAGCAAGGTGTTAAAAAAAAAAATTAAAAATCAAATTTTTTGCAAGGGAAACGGGGGAAACTCAGGGGGGGTAATAAACCCCACAATGTGGGGGACTAAAAAAAGGGAGGGGGGGTATAAAAAAACCAGTAGGAAGGGGAAAGGGGGGGGTGGGGGGGGGGGGGGAGGGGGGGGGTGGGGGGGGGGACAAACCTCCATTCCTTTTGAGGATTTCCCACTTTTTTTTTTTGGCACCTTAGCGAAAAAACACCAAACATAAAAAATAAAATTACCCCAGGTGTTTATTGGTTTTCCACACAAACTGTTGGGAAAACTAGAAAACCCCCAATGGACTTCAAAAAGCACATTCTGGAACCTCCGGGGGATTTTTCCATTATAATGGGTGGCGGGAGGGGGGACCACCAGGGGGGGGGGGTGCGGGGGGCCCTTTCTGCACTTGGCTTGATTTTGTTTTGCTTTTTGCTGGGCTGCTGGTGCTTGCTGCTTTTGCTTTTGCTGCTGGGTCTTGGGGGGCTTGTTTTTTTTATTTTTGCCTTTGCTTTATTGTGGTTGCTGCCTTGTGCTTTGGTGTTTTGGCTATTTGCTGGGGGGTTTTTTTTTATGCTTTTGAATTTTTTGCTTTGCTGTTTTTTTTACTGCCTATTACTTGGCTGATGGATGGGATTTGTGTACATGCTTAATGGCTGCTTACTTGGGGGGAGGCTGCTGATTTTTTTGGCTGCTGGCTGGGTGGGGCTGCTGGGGTTTACTGGTTTTGCTACTGCTTACTTTTTTGCTGGGGCTTGGTTTTTTAACTGGGCTTTTTTGCTGCATTTTTTGCCTGTTTTTGGTTACTTTTTTGGGAGGGTAACTGCTTTTTTTTAACTGCTTTTTTTTGGGCTTTTTTGGGTTTTGCTGTTTTTTTTTTAACTGATTGGCTTGCTTTAACTTTGCTTTGCTGGCTGCTGTTTTTTTTTTAACTGTTTGGATTTGGTTGCTTTGGTTTGTTTAACTTTGCTGCTATTGCTTGCTTGCGGTTATATTGGCTTGTTTTTTGCTTTATTGCTTGGGCTGGGCTGTTTGTGACTGCAGCCTACGCTTACTGCTTTTGCTTACTGTGGGTCATTTTTATTTTGTTTGGTTCTACTGCTGCTGGTGCATTTTGTTGGTTGTTTATTGGCTTGTTAAATACTGCTTTTATTTGATTTATTTTTACTGCTTGGGCTGCTTGTTGGCTTGGTGACTTTGTTTTTTGTTTTTTTGATTTGCTTTTCGGTTGCTTTGGTGTTTTTTGTATGTTGTTTTGGCCTGCTTAGGTTTGGTTTTTGCTGCTTTGTTTGGTTTGTTTGTTTGGCTTTGTTTTTGGTTGGGTGTTTTTTTTTGGGGGGGCCGGGCTGTTGCTTGTTGTTTTTTGGGGTGGGGTTTTTTTTTTTTTGGTGTTGGTTTATGGGTTTGGTTTTGGTTGTGGGGCTGTTTGGTTGTTTTTGTTTTTGTTTGCTTTAGGTGTTTTGTTTTGTTTGTGCTGGGTTTGTTGTTTGTTTTGCTTTTTTGCTGGTTGTTTTTGGTTGGTTTGCTTTTTTTTTTTGCTGTTTTTGGTGCTGTTTTTTTACCTTTTTTGCTTTCTGGCTGGGGGCGCTGTGCTGGCCTTGTTTACTTTGTGGCTTTTGCTTTTGGTTTTTTTTTTTTTGCTGTTGTTTTTTTGTTTTTTTGCTTTTTGGATGTTTTTGGTTTTGGATTTGCTTTTGCTTTGGTTTGCTGCCTTGCTGTTGGTTTGTTTTGTTGTTTTGCTTGGATGCTATTTTGCTGTGTTTGTTTGCTGTGGGTTGGTTTGTGACTGCCTGTTTTTTTTTTTTGCTGTTTGCATGGATGGCTTTGACTTGCTTTTGTTTGTTTGTGCTTGCTGATGTTGCTGTGTTTGCTTTTGCTTTTGGCTTGTCTTGCTGTTGCTGGTGGCTTGCCTGTTTGATTTTGTGTGCTTGCTTGTTTGTTTTGATGGGCTGGTTGTTTTGTTTTGCTTGGCTGGTTCTTTGTTTTGGCTTTTTGCTGCTTTGTGGGCTGGCTTGTGCTGTTTTTACTGCTGCTTTTGGGCTGTTGCGGGTGTGCGTGGTTTGTTTTTGCTGGCTTTTTTTTGCTGCTGGGGTTGTGGGGCTGGTGTTGTTTTTAAAAACTTTGTTTTGATGGTGCTTTTTTGGTTGCTGTGGCTTGGTTGGTTGTTTTGGTTGTTTGTTGATGTTGGATTTTGTGCTGAGTTGGGTTGTTTTTTGCTTTTTTGGCTGGGGTGGCTGCTTATTTTTTTTGATTGGGCTTTGCTTGCTATGGTGTGGGCTAGGCTGGCTTGACTTTCTTTTTTGGCTGGCTGATTGTGTTATTTTACTTTGTTTGCTGCTTGGTGGGGGTTCCACGGGGGAAAAGGTTATAAGGGATGAAAAATGAATTAACAATGGGTCCCAGGCCAGTGGGGCTTTTTTTTTGCAAAACTTGTGGGGGCCCC